CATGCAAGATCAGCAGGGGTAAAAGAAAAGTTGTGTATAGCTTGGCCAGACTATACCTTGGACAGAAATTTGAAGATCTGAGGAAGAGAAAAAGTTATCAAAGAAAGGATAAGTATTTTTTTTTTTTTTCTGTGAAGGACTTAATAGTAAATATTTAAGGTTTTGCAGAAGTGGCAAAGTTTAGGATATTATATAGGTACTTACATATTACACGGTCTCGGGGGTGGGGGGTGCAGTGGCTCACACCTGTAATCCCAGCACTTTGAGAGACTGAGATGGGCAGATCATCTGAGGTCAGGAGTTTGAAACCAGCCTTGACCAACATGATGAAACCTCGTCTCTACTAAAAGTACAAGATGAATTTCATAAAAGTTTCACACCCAAAAATATTATTGTTCTTTTGGTTTTTTTCTCAACCAGCTAACATGTGAGAACCATGCTTAGCTTAGCCCCTGGGGTATATAAAACAGGTATGGATTTGGCCCATAGGGCATAGTTTGAAACCCCTGAAAATACAATGTTCTCAAACTCTGATGTGTGTAAGGATCAATTAGGGCATATATTTTAAATGTAAGTTTTTCCAGGCCTCCTCCCTAGAGAGTTAGTTTTGTTAGGGTAGAAGTGAGGCCCAGGAGATCTGCATTTCTAACATGTACTCTAGTGAACTTTCACTTGCTAGGTGGCATGCATGTACAAAGTTCTTTGGTGTAGGACAGTGTTTCCCAAAGTATAGTCTGAAACTACCAGTTGCAAAATTGCTCAAGGTCAGTTTGGATGTAGTTCAGCAAGATGACTACGGTAACAGCATCCACAGCTTCATGCCCTACATTTCGAGTCCTGGAGATGATCAGTAGGAGTGAGGGTTGCTATTAACATAGTTATCTTGTTGAACTGCATCCAAACAAATACTCTAAGTTGTTCTTCTCTAGGCCTGCTACTTAAAAATATCTGTCCTATGAAACCTGTAGAGCAGAGGCACTGTGTCACGCAAAATCCCCACCCACCACCACCCCTTTAACTCTGCTGTACAGATAAACATGATTTAGTAAGTACAATATTGCATATAAATGTACCCTGCCCTCCATATAGTTCTTAACGGTGTCAATGATCACAAAACCACATTTTTGTTTAAAGGTCAAACATTATGCTTTCTGTTAGGATTTGAGGGTTTGACTTAAGAACTAACTGTTCTTGCTTAAAATGAAACAGAAAACCAAATCCCAAGTATATTATAACTAGCCTGAAAAATAAAATCAGTAAAATTTAGGAATTCAGATGATGGGATGATAATCAAGAGGCCCCCTGGGCACCTGTCAGAATTCTGCAGTTTGGAAGCCTGCTCATGCAGAATCTGAATATTTAGCCACGTGATGATTGCTTGTCAGAGGTTTATTCTAAACCTCCTGTATCTGGCGGAATAGATGGCGCCGCCTCCCTCTCCTCCCCTACTTGCTGACCCTGTGTTTGATGCTATCTTCAGCCTCTCTCCAAAACATGGGGGCAAGGGTAAGGAGAAAGAGAATTGGATTTTACAATCACGGTTAATGATAGAACTATTGTAAAAAGGTTAGAAAAGATGTGTTCTGATGCCTGACCTTCACAGTGTTTTAATCCCAGACACATGAGGAAATCGGAATGAATACAAGCTCATTTTAAGGTTAGAGAACACCGTCTCTGATAAATTAGTCCCTTTGTAGATCTCAAAATTGAATTAAAATACAGCGCTCAGTCATATTTCGGGCTAAGCTGTTACATTTGCATTAAAGGTGTACGGCTCAAGCATTTTGATGTGGGATTCAGGACTTGGCACAGTTCATGTGGAGTTCAGAATGGTTTTCTCTGCCTATATCGTGCTTTATGGGGCAGATTTTAAAATCATATTTCTCAGTTTATGTTAATGTCCTTTTCGGAGACCTAGCAGTGTGGATGTCCCCTCTGCAGACGCACATACTTCCCATTAATGCTAATGGGAGTCAGAACCAACCACACTGGGAGATAAATGATCTCCCAAATCTCTTCTGACCTTATCTAAAGTAACAGGATTGTTAACTCCCGTGAACATATTGGCCAAATAAAGCTTTTTTCCCCCACCTCACCTAGAAGAAGAATATAAGAATCAGAGGACCTCTGTGGAGAAACTAACTGCAGCTCAGAACCAGGAGCCACTACCAGAAATAACTCTGCTTGGAAACACATGAATTCTACCTGTCAATCAGGCTACCTGGGCACATCATCCCTTAACCATACCTACACATCGCTGCCTTCCTCTTTTCGTGCTGGGTCAGGCTCTTCCTGCCTCAGTCCTTCCTCTTTCTCTCACCTATTAGGAAATTTCAGTTTTTAAAGTGTTGTGCCTGTTTCAGCAAATCATGTGGCTAGCATAGGCAGGACATACTAATTCTGCATCTATAAATTCACTAAAACGCTTCTGGAAATTGTCCTCAAGTCATGTTTCCTAGTTTTAGACATTCACATATACCATCTTCATGATTTTTTGCATATCCTCCTATAACAATGCATATTTAGTACTTTTCTTTGTACTGACTCATTCTTAAATTCATTTTGAAATACTGTTGTATTTCCATTAATTGCCATTAATGGAAAACCAGTGTTCTCCTATTATACCTTGAAAGAAACAAATAGTTACCAAAATTTAAAAAAATTGTAACTGTAAACTGCCTAAAACTATATCCTATACTTATTTGGGTGAATAGCTGTTTGCATGTTACTAGAAGGCAAGAAATAAATTATTTTGTTCGTTAGAATAGGTAGAAGTTACTATTTTAGCAATATTTATAACCACACAAAAATGAGGCAACCATAACATATTTCATCCCTGATATATCTGTAGGCTGTGCACCATGATTCAGTGTAAGATGAGCAGCAGGGAACTGCACAGTTCGTTGGGAATGGTTTTGTCCTGGGGCTTGTGGTATCACTGGGATATGAACTCTGATGGGAAATAGAGGCCTCTCCTTTCTGCCAACTCTTGGGAGAGCCAAGGAAGTCAATACTTATATGAAGGATGATAATAAAATACAGAACATGCCTTGTTCCTACCTGTGAAAATACCCTACTTTTAACAATATGAGGCTCACTTCTCTTTGCTAATTATTCTATTTGGGTGGAAACGTCATAAATGTTCATTTCAGCATGATTTAGAATACATGCATATCCATTTAAAAATATAAAAACAACAAAACAAATACTAATATTTCTTAGGTGCCAGATACCCTGTTAATCGCTTAGCATGGATTACCACAGTCATCAAAACAACCTCATTTTATGAAAATACGTTTATAAACAAAACAACTATTAATATTTCCTAGGTGCCAGGCACCACACTAATCACTTAACATGAATTTTCACGGTTATCAAAGCAACTCCATGAGATTGGCACTGCTATTATCCCCACACAGGCTAATTGTCTTGTCTAAGAGCTAGTAAGTGGTAGAAATGAGATTCAAACCCAGCTCACTCTGACTGGAATCCCTGCCTTTTAACTATGATTTTAAGATGTCAACCTAATATTCTCTTGTATCTCCATAACTCACAAATAATCTCTAACAGATCCTAGCTCTGTGTCTAACCAGCTCTGAAACATTGAGATCTCTCTTGGTCCTATATGATTACTAAGCTTCCTTTAGCCAAAACAGTCATACATTAGCAAAGACCTCTAGCTAGAACTGTGCTTTACAAATATTATCTAACCTCTTTTTCCTTTGCCCATGAAACAGAGTGAACAAGCAGTCAGTCACACACTGATGCTAGTGCTCTGAGGAAGTAATTAATAGACTGAAATAGTTGGAATCAATCTAAACATATATTTAGTTCTAACTCTTGGACTTCCAATTTTCTATCTGCATCATCAAGTATGTTAATGATAAAAAGACTTCCCGAAAGAGTAGTACATTTCCAACTTTTAAAGACCCTAAAATACACAATTAGGTAATCTGTAGTTTTCTTCTTTAAATTAAAGGCAATTTTTTTTGATATTTTTATTTGCCTTCATCTATCCTCACAAAGGGAGCTACAAATGGGCAAGAAGGAAATAATATGATATGACTCATCTGTATAGATTACTCAGAAACAGGAAGAATAGGTAAAAAAATTTCCTGGTGCAGGATAAAGAACCAAGAAGAACTCAGAATCAGGATCTGGGTTCAGGTCTCCTTCAGCTACTCGTGACCTTGAGAGAACCACCAACGTGAGCCTCATCTTCTTCAGTCAAATCACTGCCAAGTTCCCTTCAACTCAAAAATCCTATGACAGGGCAATATATAAAGTGAAAGAAATGCAAATGAAATGTAAATTAAGATTTTCTCCTTTTCAATGGTTACTTAACACTTCCAGCCTGTGCCATGAAGCTAATATTGAAATAGTTTCACTCGTGTGCTTTGCTAACAGCATAAAGGACTTTCTGCTACAAAAATTATAAATCACCCAGGCTATGGTATATGGGAATTTTATTTCCTTAAAACTGACAAGGTTCGCTGAGTGAGTAAGGCAAAGCACAGAGGTGATCAAAGCCTTTTATTAGTATAATAAGCCATATCCATATCTCTGAATAAACGGGACAGCTATCTTAAAAATTACCAATGTCATTGTTTAAGCAACGTTTGCTAAAAATAGTACATGAGTCTTGAGTTTTTAATTTGTTGGAATGGTGTTCCTAGACACGAATTTCAAATCTATAGAGACTTGAAAGAAATTTAATTAAAGGATTGAAGATAACATTAGTTACAATACTATAATAGATACAATGGCTATAATTCTCAAAATTGTATTGGATGATTCTGAAATAAGATAGTCTTTCAGTCATATTCATTACCAGCAGTTTTCTAAGAATTATTAATCATATTATGTTTGCTGTGATGAATTAATTTAGCAATACAGTGATATCTGTATATATTAATATGAATGATGCCACTTCTATAGATTACATTATTAGACATGAGGACACATATATTAATATTTGAATTCTTTGGGTTAGCCATTACCTTTCACTACCAAGTTTCCAGTACTGCTAGCAGTTCCAAAATGGTTAGTGGCTATACAGGTATAACTCCCAGCATCTGATTTAGTAACGTTGATGATTCTGAGGTTTCCATCTTCAGAAATGGCAATTCTGAAATCAAAGTAAATGAACCAAAAATGGTGAAATTTATCTCATATGACTTATTGCAATTTTTTTCTGTTATTCTGTCATTGTTCAAAGCATAAATCATTGCTACATTATTTGACAGCCTCATCTTTATTTAGGGTATTTGTCTACATATACATAAACAAAATTGAGATATGTGACTTGTTTAGAGTTTTTAATTCTTTTCTTGCTAAAATGGTCTCAACAGCCAGTTGGAATAACCATTATAAATATTCGATAGGTTGTGACAATTTCTATTTGGTAGCTCTAACCACATTAGGCAAAGGGAAGGCTTATGGTAGATCACCATTAGTCTTATAACTGCTAATGAGGAATAAGAAAAAAATCCCTTGATAAATCAATTTAAGTCTTTTCGTTGAAAGTGTTTTTTTCTAAATGAGAGCCTTAAATTAAATGAGGTATTATTAAACATATTTATTTCTGAAATATGTCAGCCAATACATTTTTAATGAGATGTAAAAACTGAACTTAAAAAAAATTAAAATATTCCACAACTCAGTGTGACTTTGGCAGAATAGCAAATGTGGATGGCAAACCTCAGGCCCCACAATTAGGGACAAACATCTACTTTCTGCAGGGAAGAAAATGTTTTTGTTGACAGATGCAAAATTTGGAAGAGGAAGAATTTTAAAGAACTCTGTTTTCAACGTGACTACCAGAAGAGAAGTAGGAAAATACAAAGATGAGTAAGACAGACAGCTTGGCTTAGAGGCTTGTCAGAGAAATAAAAAACGTACACAGATAGCTCATTCAAGGTAAATGTTTGTTAAATTTCTCTTTTATTTCAAATCTGCCTACATCTTTCCATCTCTTCCACTCCCTCCTTCTCACCTAGTCCATCAAAACAGCCTCCTAATTGGTCTGCCTGTTTCTACTCTTGTCCATCAGATCCATTCTTCAGTCAGTGGCCAGATGATCTTTTAAAATTTAAATCGGATTATATCACTCTCCTGGCTTAAAGCTATGTCCTTAGCTCTGCCATTGCATTCTGAAAAATTTTCTTGCTGCAGCCTTATTATAAAGCTTTACGGATCTAGCTTTTTAAAAAGCCTCTCTTGCTTACTATTTTGTTCTAATCTCTCTACTCTTCAATGAACTCTAGTCACACTGGCCTTCTGCATATTCCTAGAGTATTAGAAATCCTTCCCACTTCAGGGCCTTTGCACTTGCTGTTCTGCCAGCTTTGAACACCCTTCTGTGTATCTGGACATAGCTGTCACCTTCTCACCTTCAGGATCTCAGCGTAGAGGCAGTTTTTCCTTATAGATCTTTCCCAACTCACTGTTTACAGTGGGTCTCCCTGTCTCCCTGTTTTCCTGCAGCCACTTTATTTCTTCCCACTAAATTCAATCTGGAAATTTTATTTGTTTGCTTGTTAGTTGTCTTATCACATGGAATGGTAGCATCTCTGAGGGCATGGATGGTGTTCGTCTTACGACTGAACCTCCTGGGTCTAGTACACAGGATGACATGTAGTAGATACTAGAAATATTTCTTAAGTGGCTGAGTGAATACATGAATAAATAAATAACCTAAGGGAAAAATCGATATTATGTTGTATGAATTCAGAGTGGTTGAACTACTTGGCACTAGTGCTAGACTTAACAGTCCTTTCAGATCTCTGAAACAAGAGGTCTAGGATGGGCAGAGCCTCACTTCATAGAACTTTTGAGTAAGCATTTTAAAAACACAGGTGAAGATGTAAATGCACTGGGTTACAAATGCTGCATATACTTTTGTGAAGGCTTTTATGGATGGAGAAGCTACAGTCTTCCCGAAGACCCGGTCCAGATCTATGACTCAATCTGATGAGAGGGTATGAAGGCAGAAGAACTCTACAAAGAATTTTGGAATCAGAGGGGTGAGAGTTCACATTCCAGTGCTGTTGTTTCTAGCTGTACCACTAAAGGCAACTTACTTAACTTTCTCAGTTTTTACTTCCTCTTCTATGAAATAGAACTAACAATGTCCATCGTATAGACTGATAGCAAGAATTAGGTAAGATAGCGTCAGTAAGATTCCTAGATGTAAGATTCCTAGATGTTTCCTGATATTTACTAGGCAGTGGTTCTCTTTCATCTTTAAAATTGTGTTGGCTAGGCTGGGTGTGGTGGGTCACGCCTGTAATTCTAGCACTTTGGGGGGAGAGGCAGGAGGATCACTTGAGCTCAGGAGTTTGAGACCAACCTGGGCAACAGGGCAAAACCCTGTCTCTACAAAAAATACAAAAGTTTGCCAGGTGTGCCGGCTTGTGCCTATAGTCCCAACTACTTGGGGGGCTGAGGTGGGAGGATGGCTGGAATCTAGGAGTGGAGGTTGCAGTGAGCCAAGATGGCACCACTACACTCCATCCTAGGAGACAGAGTGAGAACCTATCTCAAAAAAAAAAAAAAAAAAAAAAAAGAAAAAGGAAAAAAAATGTGTTCTCTTATTTGGTCATTTGTACATATAGGAAACATTGGACGACATCATTTTAATATATTTTCTTTTAACATAGTAATTAAATCAGCCTTATTTTTGTATTTTGTCTGTTATTTCTGACAATTTGAAATCAATAGGCAAATTAACTGAGTCATCCCAAATCAAGGTACAAGATGCAGACAGGGCACGAGGGCACCTGTGGTTGGGCAGTTTGTATCTGCTGGCGGTGCCTATGTTGCTTTCTGGTAGAGGCCTGGCATTGGAGGCCTTGGCCTTTGGGCTGGGGTGGCCCATGCTCCTGGTGGAGGCAAGGGAGCCGAGCTGGAGCCATGGCCAGTGAGGTGGTAACTGTTAGGCCTAACCATTGCTGTTGAAGGATTTGTGGGTCATTATATTTTGCAAACCAGGAAGCATATGGAGCCTCAGGTAAAACAAGCTTTTCAAAGTCTACTGAAATCTGCCCTCAATGATGGCTATTACAGAGATGTCTGAACCCAAAGTGACAAAATAAGAAGCAGAGGTGCAAGTCCTCCTGCCAATAAAGAAAGAACAAGAGATGCTCATAAACAAATTACTCTCTTAAATCACATCACTCAGATAAAGGAGAATGTTCTTATATAGCAGCCAAAATTTATGAAGGTAAACATTTACTAGAATATCAAGGTAAAAAAAATAAGTAAATGTATGATGAATTTTAAGTTCTTACTAGTTTACATAGATGACTACCAACTTCTTATAATAAAATGTCTCAAAGCTACAATTTAAAAAATAATTTAGCATAAGCTAAATCAAAACTCTGGCTAAAAAAAAAGACACAGACAAGAAGGCCTTTTGTTCATTCACATCACAGATACGCATATAACAGTTGCTCAATAAAGACCATCTGATACCTCATTTGCCAAGGAGCAGATGCATTGACAAAAACAGAGTGGAGAACAAATCTTAATTACCTCAATAATAACAAAAATAGCTTTAAAGGAGTTAGTCACATTCCATTTATAAAATAATTTGCTAGAAATTGTGAAATGCTGGCATATGAGAATTAAATATGTAAGGTGACATTTGTGTTTTATGTATGGGCTTATCTTCCATGAGGTAACACTGGCTTGGAGCATATTAAATATTCTTAGGGGTGAGATGACTCTTTAAAAGCAAAAACACCTATAAATAACTTATACCATTAAAAATAGTATCATGACCATTCCAAAAACCTAAAGCCATTGCCTGTATCAAACTCTGACATGCTGAAGGAAATGAATACGGAAACAAGTAAAGGATTTGTCATCAGATGACTTGGATTCTAGCCTTGACTCTGAAACTTGTCAAGTATATAGCATTGCCAAGTTACTTATGCAAGCTCTGAGACAGTTTCCCAACCTTGGCACTGATGACAGTTTGGACTGAACAATTATTTGTCCTAGGTGGGATAATGGGCAGCATCCTTGGCCTGTACCCACTGGACTCCCATAGCTCTAACCCTTCCCCAAGTCATGACAATCAAAAATGTCTCCAGAGATTGTCAAAGATACCCTGGGGGTCAAAATCACCCCAGTTGAGTACTGCTAGTCTAATTCAGTTTTTAAAATCCCTTCTTCTATAATGAGATAAGATAGGTGAGAATTTCGTAACTTAAAGTGCTCCACACTCTTCAAATGTTTTCCCCACCATCATTTCCATCCCTGCTTCCTATTTTTTGTATCTGCACTGCATAAAACCCAGCTAGCTTTTAACAGTCTTAGTACAAGGCTCTCTTTGCTCCTTGTCCTCAGAGTTTCCCTGTCCAATTTCCTATGGGCCTTGTGAAATTACAAAATAATTTTATAAACTGTTTTATTATTAATTTTAAAGATTTCAGTGCCTGATATTGGTTTAGGGTCTTAACTCTCCCATTGTTATTTGCGAAGAGGTAAGAGCCTAACTCTTTTAGAACTCCAGATGAGAGAAGGACAGTGAGGGAGATCGTTTGTAGAAGGGGTAATTTTCAGTAGCCTTCATTAAATCACATCATATTGCTGTGACCACTTATTCTTACTATTATCCAAATGTGGGGGTAATGGAAGTTTGATAAACTATTCTTTTGAGAAACTCAACCACTTCTTTATATAAGCAATACAGTGTAGTAACTAAGAACATAAACTCTGGAACTAAACTGTCTAGGCTCAAATCATGCTTCTACTGCTTAGGAGTTGTGTGACTTTGGGAAAGTTAATCTCTCTGTAACTCAGTTTCCTTGTTTGTAAAAATGGGATAATAAAAGTAACCATATATATCTCATAGAGTTGTTGTAAATATGTGCAGTGCTTAGAATGATGCCTGACACGTAAAATGCACCTGGCAGGACAGGTACTTGGGCATATGTCAGTGAGACAGTCTATTCATATGTCATGCATAGACCAGGGTTAGTCACATGTTCTATTAAGTGAAGCTCTGTGCCTTCCTGGACCCATTGTTTCAAGCAATTACAAAGGATTCTGTTAAGGCTAAGACAACTGCTGAGTAGTTCTGCCACTCTGAAGTCCTACAACACATTATGATGCCTCACA